AAGCATGTAAATGGAAATTATCGCGGCCGAAAAAATTATCAAGCTCATTTTATTTATCGTGCGATTAATTGATTTATCGCATATCGCGACAGGCCTAGATGGAAACATGACACCCGGGAGCACAAGGGGTCATTTTCATACCTATTCCAGTCCAATGCTGATGCGCGTCTACGTTCTACATTATTTACTGTTTTTATAGACTATGGGAACGACCTGCAACAGTGATTTTGTTCTTAGTGTTGTTCAAAATGCCAAAGTAGCAAGACAGTGTGGGGAGAGAGCTTCTCCTGATTTGAAAAAGTAAGAAATAAGGAGACAGGTCCCTGGCACTTTCTCCAGCACCGGCACAGCACTGAGGGCATTGGTCTGGCAATGCGAGACTACTGGCACTGTGAGAGACAGACTGTGAGATAGACAACAACATATCGAAAATGCTGAGTGAAAGAGGCAATGGTCGCAGCCCAAGTCAAGTAACAACTTGACTTGGGCTTCAGTCCTCTGAACACCCTCAACAATGAACTGTAAATAAAAGGAGCACAGCAGTAGTATCATGAATAAGGGTGCTGGATGTGTTGGAGACCATTAGAGGGCACTGGAAAGTTTGTTGTATTGTAGTGTAATTGACATACAGTAATGAGATTAATATTGATGTTTTTACCTCACTCTCAGAAAAGGAGTGAATAAGGGCAGCATACTTTGAATACAAAAGTGTAGAACCTGAGCACATACAGCATACAGTTTGTGTTTGTATTATATTGTAGGTCATATAGACACATAAGATGCTCACCTTTTCAAACTCAATAAAGGCGTAACAGAGGGAATCTCCAGTCTTCCAGTCTCTGATGATCTCACAGCTACACACACCAAAATAACAGGAGAACTTTTTAGTAATACAGAGCTAAAGCAAAATGTTAGCACATATAAAATGTCCAGATGCAGAAATAAAAATCTACAAACTGGAATTGTGTAGAACTTGCAAGTTAGCGTCACCTCTTTATGGTACCAAAGCGAGAAAAGATGATTTCCAGGTCATCGTCTGTGGTCACTGGGTTCAGTTTGCACACAAACAGTACGTTCTCTGGTGGCCTTACATCTGCGTCAGGGAGGTCACCCACCTGAAGAACATATGACAGATGAGTATAGAAATGTCTCAGGCTGCATCTTCAGGATCTTCACCTGAAATTTCTGAAATTTGGAATTTCCCCATTGTGG